AAAAAAAAAAAAAAATCAGAGAACCGTCACCAAAACCATCAGAGCACCGCCCAAGCCCATGTCTTATTTTTGCCAATGAGACAGGCCCCCCAAGGCCAAAGACTGTCAATCAAGGACTTCTCTGCCCTGCCAAAAAACCCACAGAATTAAGCCTTACAGTAACTAGCAACCTGCCTTTGTCTAACCTAACTCTGGTCCACTCTTCATTTGGAATATATTCAAATAAAATTCTCGTTTTGCTCCGCTACTGTGTCTCTGCCTTCCAATTCTTTGCTGCTGCGGGGACAAGAACCGAGGAGAATAAACTCAACCCGTAAGAGTACGGGCCTGCTCTATGGAGATAAACAAAGCAGGAAAGGGGCCAGGAGTGACGTTGGTTTAAATAATATAGCCAAGGAAGACAGCATCCAAGAAAGTAGCATTTGAGGAGAGAACGGAAAAAAGTGAGGCAGCAAACTGTGGAGATTCCTGGGGGAAGAGCATTCTAGGCAAAGGAAACAGCAAACTGAAGACTGAGTGGCACAACAAATTTTAGGGATTCAAGGACCACCAAGCAGGCTTGGGTGGCTGGAGTGAGGGAGGGGGGAATAGTGGGGAATGAGGTGGGGAGAGGAGGGGGGCAGATCATATACACCTGCTTCTGCCGAGTGAGTTAGGAGCCATGGGAGGAGTTTGAGCAAAGGGGGAACATGAGACATGATCTGACTTCGATTTTAACAGAATCCTTTGGCTGCCATGTGGGAGACAGACTGGAGAGGGCTGAGATGAGAAAGGGGAACCAGGGAGGAGGCTGCTGTAGTACATGGAGATGGTGGCAGCTAGACGGGGTGATGGCAGAGAAGATGGTGAGAAGTGGTCAGATTCTACAGATGTTTGAAGGTGGAACCCAGGGGGATTGGCCAGTGGATTGGCCACAGAATGTGAGAGGAGAGGAATTAAGGATAATCCCAAAGTTTTTGGCCCTAGCACCTGGAAATGTGGAGCTACTGGGAAGATGCCAAAAGAGGCTGAGAGAGAAAATTAGAGTTCCATTTTAAACATATTAAATTTGAGTTGGGTATTGGCATTGAGTTGGGATGTCAAGTGGAAAGTTGGATGTAATTATCAAACCTTTGGGAAAGGAGAATTTAGGCCAATTCAAATGTCATTACCGAAAGAAGACGGGGAAGTCATTAGAGTACATACTCTGCTTGAAATCTGCAAAAGAGAACTACAACTTATTTTAAAGAGGAAAATGGAAGGAAGTAAACGCCAAATATGAAATTAAGAATAAAGTCACAAACTACCAACACTGGGAAAAATAGCAAACTTGAAACTAGCTCTTGGAAAAACCATTAAAACACAGTTTTTTTAATGCTTAAGGGAATTAATACCTTCTTGATGAAATCAAACAAAACCGGAAGAACAGACTAAAGAACAAAAAAGGGGAAGTTACAACAAATGAAAAGCAAGATTAGTTTTAATGACCAAGGGACTTCTATGTAAAATTGCACAAAATACATGTGAAAGCTTTCAAGTAATTGACTCTTCTTAACAAAAAGTAAGGCTGATGCAATAAAATAAAAAAAAGAAAAGAGATTTCAAAAAAAACCACTAAAGTTTTTTATAAAATGTATCAAAGAAGAACTTTCCTCAGTGGCACCTGGACCCAATGGATTAACAACAGGATTTCCCCCCAATATCTCATGAAGCTGTATAAATTGTCCCAGGGCATAATTCATTCTACAAGGCAGTCTTGGTCTTAATAATTCATGCATGAAAATTCTAAATAAAATACTAAGGAATAAAAAAATTTATTGTTGAGGACCTACTGTGTGTCCCTGTATCATATAAAGAAAAAAGAGATCCCTACCACTGGGGAGCTCACAGACTAGTTGGAAGAAAACAGGGTATAGACAAATAAAGATAGTTTGGTTCTTTCAAAGGCTTGAGGTGTGTGGGGGAGAGACAGAAATGAAAATGTCCGGTATGTTGCCCTTGGGGAACATACAGTTTAGCTGGGAACTTGCGTTCCAAAAGCTTGAAGGAGAAGGACACTGTTTCCTCCTGGAGAGGAGAATGAATCAGAGAGGGCTTCCTGGAGGAAGTGTCATTTGAACAAGACATTGAAGGAATATTTCTGTGATTCAGAGCATGAGCCCTGGAGTCAAGTAAATGTGGGATCAAAGCTCAGCTCTATAATTTCCTTGCCATGTGATCTTGGACAAATGACCCCCCTTTCTGGGCCTCAGCTTATAAAATGAAGCCTCTCCCCCTACCTCTGGCTTTTTGGAAAAATTACCTTAAAGAAGAAACTATAAAGTCCTGTTGTGGAGTAACAGCTCTACACACTGGTGCCACTACTGTAAGATTTAAGAGCTTTGAGCAGGTGAGAATCTCAAGCAGCCTTGTCTAAATAGAACTTTCTGCAATGATAGAAATGTGTTATATCTGCACTGCTCAGTATGGTAGCCACCAGCCACATGTGGCTACTGAGCCTTGACCTGAG